GGGGGAGCCGAAAGAATTCTGTAAAGGGTGGCTTCTCAGTTAGCACGTCACTTCACAGCCAGCCACACTGAACGAAACGCCCTCCCAGACCCGGGGCTTCAAGGGAACACGGTGGCTTTGTCACTGCCTTCCTCAGCAGAGGGGTGGAGGGGCTGCTGGCCAAGGCTTCGAGAGCCTGGCTCTCAAGGGCCCCCACATGGTTGTGATGATCAGGGGAGAAGCCTCCTGTGGACAAAGCGCTGGATGAATGCAGGGGGTTCACATTTGGACAGAGGCCCTGACTGCAGCCTGAACAAGCAGGGCCAGGAAGATGGGTTTGGTGGAAACAGAAGGCCGATATCTCCTTTTACCTCAGGCCTGATTTCCAGCTAAATATCAACATACAAGAGACAAGGGTCTTCCACTTCCAACCTTCTGCAGAAGTTGTGCCAAGTTCAGGAGGCTGCTGGCAGTGCTTAGGTGGTCCTGACTTCTCATCTTGGGCTTCTGTCCCACTCACCTGCACAGCAAGGTGTTGAAGTTCCCCTTCTCAGGGTCAAACGCCTGGTTTTCCATGCGGGCGAGTCCAAAGCCGATGGCCAGCACAGCGAGGGTGAGGATAAAGAGGCGCGTGACCCCAAATACAGCAGCCCAGGCATTAAACCTGCTCGCAGAGGCAGAAAAGGGACGTCAGCCTTTAGGGTTCTTGGAGGAACATTTACCGACTTCAGAAATGACCCCAAGTGAGAATAGGATTCAAAGGTGGCCTGGTAAGGTGCTTGAGGAATCCCTAGAACAAGATGCTCCAGGAAGAAAATAACCCTAGGGCGCCGCCTGCAGGTGAGCTGACAGTTCACATGCGGGGTGGGACCCTCCAGTCACCCAGGCCTCAAGGAAGGCTTGCAGCCAAGGCTTCTGAGCAGGCCGGCCTCCAGCAGCCCCACTTACAGCTTCTCGTTGTTTTCGTCAGCAAAGTAGAAGAGTCGAGCCATGTGGAAGAGGAATTCGGTCGAGTACTGCAGCAGTAGCAAGATCAGGCCCAGGCGGCTCAGGCTAGGAGAAAAGACGGGCCTTACATTCCCACCACAAGCCACAAGCACTCTACTTTCTTGGGCTGACCTCCAAGCCGGGGCTCTGCTTTCCATTCCCACTTTCCCTGCCCTCCCTCAGCCTTGGACTCAGTTCAGTTGTTGCACCTTTAAGATGTTTTCCCAGTACTGACCCCCTGGCCTTTCACTTGTCCTGCATAGGCCAGGTCCCTGCCTGCTCCCATGGCTTAGGCTCTTCAGGACACTTGGCACCTCGCACTCCTCAACTAGGCTGAACCAAGTGCAAGTGCTCGGGGGCCAGACGGTGGCACAGCAGTAATGCAAAACCCACAGCAAGAGGTCCTGGGTTCACATCCCAGGGTCCCTTTGTACACGCTGGGCATGTGTGCCCATGGTTCTGGCTGACTGAGGTTGGGAGTAGATTATGGCAAGACTCTGTTGGGGGTTCTTATTTCTCTCTCTCCCAGAAGGAATTGTTTCTTAAAGGTGCTCAGAACAAGTTTGCTGAACCCTCTATGCAGAAATACATGTTCCTGTTGTCTGACTTCTCATTGTCCAAATCGTCACAGCTAAAGGGAAGCAGGAAGCACGCCTTCTAGGTGGCCCATCCTGGTCCTTGCCACACACTGCTAGGTGGCAGCACAGACTGGCTCCTGTGGGCCTAATCTGCGTGTAACACGTGGGCATCCAACACAACAGCAGAGTGGCGCCCCCACACGGCCTTCACCCTCAAAGTCCCACCCAGGAACTGAGGCTGCTCCAGGAACAGAGACCTGAGTTTGAGAGCTGGCTCCCTCCCTGACTCTATAATCCAAGTCAGTCATTCTTGCAGGATGCCTGCTATGAGAGTGGGCCCTGCGATCTCCTGGCACCTTAGCTCAAAGTTTTTCCCAGCAAGCTCTCAAAACGCCAGCCCAGACAAAGCCCAGGTGTCCTACAGCATGGCTGACGCTCAAGAACAGCCCAAATGACTAGTGACATAGCTTACTTATCAACATGATGCTTTCACAAAAGGGAATCCCAAGGCCAAGCACTGAAGGAACGTCTTCAACTTCTAGAACAACGAAGCAGAGAACTGTTCCATATTCCATTTCAAACCAAAGGGAAGGGAATCCTACACACTCGAGCAGCACTGGCCATGGACGCTGTGAGACAGGAGCCCACCTTCAATTGCCTTCCATTTGCAAAGCCACCGTTCAAAGACCAACATCTGTTGGAAGCCCCCCTAGCTGTCTCGGGTTGAGAGAGGGTTTCCATAGCAGATGATACATACTGTACTATGGTGTTTATCACACTCAACTCTCCTCAACCAGGTCTATAACTGTCTCTTCCACTAGGCTGAGAATAAACCTCTGAGATAAAGGAATCTTCTATTATCCACTCATACTCCCAAATCGGCATGGTACTTGGCACATAAAGGGTGTCTGGTAATGCCAGCTACTTGTAGGACTAGGTGGACAGAGGTACAGACACAAAAGGAAAGCGGGCTGGCCAGGGCCTCACTCACTTTAAGAGGTATGCTCCAGCTATGTGGACCAGGTACAGGCAAATGTACTGGAGCTGGCGGGGAATTTCTTCCTAGAAACAAGAGAGGCAGACAGTGAATGTGCTCATGCCCTAACTGAAGACGCAGAAGACAGAGGGGAATGCAGAGGGCAAGGGGAGTCGGCCACACACCCCTCCAGGGCTGGGCTGCTTAACATGCAGTCCCATGTCACATCACGTCCCACACACTGGGCTGCTATGAAGTCCAAGGACAGGGCAGAAGCTCTGCGTTCAGTGTCAGAGGGCGAGGCTGGGTTGAGAAAGAAGACAGGGACTAGGGAAGAGGGCTTCTGGAAGGAATTCAGAGGGAAGTTATAAAAGTTAAAATGAAAAAAGAAAAAGGTTGTGGGAATGGTAATGACTGCTCCATTTAGTATCTGGAAGAGCAGAGTCAGAGTTCCCCCGAAGCACATGTCTGGGGTAAGAGGCAGAAAGGACACCAACGCTGGTGGCCTGCTCTCCTAGGGGTCCACGTGGCACTTCCATGGGGGCAGACTCAGCGTTTTACTGGACTCCCCAAACATATTCCCACCACCCCCAATGTTCCGTGCTTCCAGATGAAGGGGAGGGCCCACTGGGAAAAGCAAGAGGGGCATGGAGAAGGAATGGCCTCCAAGAGGGGGAGGAGGAGCGAGTACTCACCTTCCGTACCTTCTGGAAGTAGAGCTCAGGAAGCGCGTGTAGCCAGTAGGCCAGCTGGCACAGGTAGAAAAACTTCACCTGGAAGCTGGAGATGAGGGAACAAGTCACACAGACGGGATCGAGAAACGTGTTCTCTGGGTTTTTGCCAAGCAGGGGAGTGACTGCAAGGAGCTGGCCCAGGCATGAGGGACTGAGGCTGGAGATCACCCCAGCCTGGGCTTGGGACCCTGGCTTCCCTGGTGGCCCACACCCTGTTCCATATACAAGATCACGTAAAGGGACACAGAAAGTCCACAGAAAGAAAAAGAAATGGTGAGAAGGGTGCTGAGGAGAAGTTCTTCATCCTAGAGGAGAGGTCGAGGAGGAGCTGGTGGTGGGACACGGGCAGTGGAGACAGTGACCACTGGATGTACTGAACGATGAGCGGTTCTAAGGAGCAAAGGAAAGACGGGCTGAGCTCTGTCCTTGGCTGCTGTTCCTGTTAAAGGTCCCGGGAAAGGCAGAGGGTGGCCTTCTGAGGGAGACGGGCCCAGGTACTGCCCTCCAGGCACCTTGGCAGCACCAAGACAGGCAGAGTGCTGCCTCTGACAGCATCAGCCAAGGCAGGCCAGGACGGAAGACAGGCTATGAATGTGAGCAGGTTGCCAGGGAAGCCCAGAGGACTACACGGAGAAGCTCTGCTCGCTCTCTGTGTCACACAGCTTGGTACCTCTGAGCCTGAGGTAGTGCAAAAGATAGTTCGTCTGGGGTTTCTCTGGTCAAGTGGCTCCCAGGCAAGCCTGCTATCCATACTACCATGCCCTAACAGGCTGAAGGGATGATCTGATCTTCATGCCAGCTGGCCCTGTAGCATTCTGGGATGACAAGCCTGTGGACCCACTTGTTCCCTTCGCGACCAGGTCATGAATACTCACGGGAGGTACACGTGCGGGTAGTCTTCCCACAGGCTTCTGGGGTTTGTTAAGTATCCTTCCTGCAGTGGGTGAAAAGAATGGAGCATTTAGAGATGGAGACGTGAGACCTGTAGGGCCTTGGGACCCCATCCAGGGGCCAGGAGCACACACAACCTCCACCTGAAAGAGGAAGGAACTCCTGGAATGGTGAAATGAAAGACCTCTCTGTGTGGGACCTGCTGGCACCTGGTCGGTTTCTTTCTTATGAAAGCGTCAAGAGATCGTAAGGAAGAGTCATGCCTTGGAGCCAGAAGGCTGGTGTCCAAACTTGGGAGATACTCGCTAGCTGCATCCTCTGAGCAACCTAAATAGTCTCCCTAAGCTTCAGTTGGCTCATCTGTAAGATGAGGATAAAAATGCCTACCCTCACAGAGTTGCTGCTAGAAATAAATGTGATCGTTCCTGTGACAGTGTCTAGGACTGTGCGTGGCATGCAGGCACTCAGGAGATGCCTGCTGATGGAATAGGCCAAGTAGACTCTAGAAACACCACCCATCAGAAAAACGAAAAGCCTACTTTGGCTTTTCACAACACCATGAACAAAATGTACGGCAGGACCCCACAGGCCTCACTCTGCATCTAGACCCTCCATCTATCATGCTGCATCATTATTGGCAGAGGTTGCCAGTACTCTGCAAGGTCACTCACACCAGGGGATTTTCTAGCTCTTCTTTATATCTTAAGCATCTAGCCCAGTACCTTGTACAGTATAGAGGAGACAATCGGAAGACCCTCTCATTCACAAAATATCTAGAAATGCTCGATGAAATCCAATAAATATTCTTTTACTTGCAAGCTGAGCTCATGATAAGAAAGGGAAAACCCCTAGAGCCCAAACAGAGAGGGAGCTAAAAGCAGAGCAGTAAGTCAACGCTATATTAACAACCCAGGAAATACTCATCTCGAGGTCAGGGCTTTTGTGTCCATGTAAGACCATAAAATGGTACCTTGGGAGGTAGAACCTGAGACCCTTGTAGAAAATCAAGACCCTGGAAGGGCTACAGTCTCAGAGAAAGAGTAGACCAGAAAGTGTTTGCTGACCGACACAGAGAAATTAATACGTCTGCTCGACCTGGGCTCAGGATGAAAACAAAAACTATTACCCTAAAAATCTGCAACCCCAGGTGTGTTACCACATGGGCTGGGAATTCGAATATTGGAACTCTTCAAAGAGTTCATGGGAAATGCATATTTTGAAAAAATTAGGCATGGATTTCAAAATTTTTTGTATGAAAATAAGCTCATGGGCTGCTGCCATGGACTGGTGGTTAATTATGGGAGCCAGATCCCATGCAGCCCACTGCTGTTTGAATGCCAGCCCTGGCAGCTTGAAAAACATGCTGGACCATATACAAGCACCCCAAATCCCAACCAGATAAAGAAACGGAAGAGAAGGAATTGTGCTATGGCCATGCCTCACTGAAGGGTGCTTTCTACATCTCCCTCTCCCTCTCTGCCTTTCTGACTCTCTCTGATCAGTGCACACTCTCATATTTTTTTTTATAAAAAGGAAAACTCATACTTTAATTCTATTTTTCTGTGATTCTTTTAAAGCACTCTTGTATACGACCTGTGTGGTCCAGGAAATCAACAAGTTAAGAAATTAGTATTAATAGTGTTAGAGGCCAGTGATGCCCTGGGAACATACTCTCATCCAAAGATGAACAGGATTCCCACAGACAAAGCCTGTTAAAGGTGAGTTTACAATCTACAATTACAAAACGCAGTAGGAAACGATCTACCACCAGCAAGTCAGGTGACAAGCTAAGAGTTCAATACAAAATTATTGATTGAATGGAAGAATGAATTAATGATGAATGCTTTAGGCAATTTCTTTCTTCAGAAGAAAAAAGGGCTCTTGTTTATCACTCAGAGGTTGGAGTAATAAGACCTCCTTTTAGAACTAGGGAAATGAAGAAACAGACAGCAAGGGCTTGAAATGAGGAGGTTTTTTTAGTTGTACAGCTGAAATCTGAGCTGGGCCACCAACCTCCTGGTTCCATAACTTCAGGCCAGGCTGCTTCAGTAAATCAGAAAAAGAACTGGGTTGGTAGCTTTGATGAGAAGGATGAGAGTCTTAAAAGTTCACACCGGGATTAGGCCAGGGGTTCTGCAGTGCTCCGAAGAATGAGGTGGCCGACAGGTGTTAGTGAGAAACATCCTACATTACTGTCTATTGTATCATAAGTTGTGTCTCTCAGAGAGAGAGGATCTACTCACCCTTGAGTCCCTAACTGCCCTTTGACCTACTAGCATGAATTTAGGGTAAAGGGCAGAGCCTGAATACCAAAACCTTGGATGTCCACTAGCACAGCGACCTAACCGATGGTTCTAATCAGACACATGTACCAGTGTCATCATGGTAACTTCGATCGAAGGTCTCACCCCGAATCCTTATGGCCTCAGTTCTAATCTCTTCTCACTACACTGCCTCCTACCCCTTAGTCACATGCAAACTGAGACAGAGAGGTGGAAGTCTCTGGGCATCAGGTGGAGCCTGTGCTGGTGGTGGTTGTGGAGGGCTCGACACACATCCACACAACTGCCATCCTACCCTACCTCCCCTCCCTGCGATCCACACGTCTTCCTTCATCATATCTCTGATCTCAGGCACAGGGCTGCACGGACTTCCACACTCTACCTCATTCCCGGAAATTGGATTGGTCAGGATGTCCCTTCCAAGAGGATGCAGCAATGTATTTAACAAGAAAAATAACACTTCTGGGATTACGGTACAGAGGAATTTCTGCCAAAAAAAGACTGGCCAGGAGATGCTGCACTGAGAGAACTCTAAAGCCCAGATGATCCTGTGATTTTAAACAGGATCCCTCCTCGGCTTGGCCTCTTTACTTAGGAGACAAGGAGGTCAGAACTTGGAAGCCAACAAGCAATGAAAACTCCCCAGAAAATATGTTGCCTGTTTGTGAATGTCCAGCCCACTGGGACTAGAGGAGGGAGGAGGTGGAGGGAGGAGAGCAAGGGGAGTCAGAGGAAAAATGACTCACTGCCCTGAGAACAGCCATTTCCAGACCTCTGTCCAGGCAGCTGTCTGAGGGGGGACAGGGCTGGAGCACCCTCCATGCTCTGGCATGCCAAAGCACCTGAGTTCACAGGGAGCTGAGTGTGGCGCAGCGAGCACCTGTAACCCACTCCAAATCCCGTCACTGACAGGCCTTGGCGGGTGGTTTGTAGCAGCCTTTGAATCCTTTGTTCTCTTCTGAATCTACCAGTCAACCCCTGAGCTAAGCAAGGCCTCAACAAGCTGGAACGATCTCTCCTGTTTCCTCAGCAGCGTTCCTTTTTGGTGCATGAACAAAAAGAACCACAAAAACAGCAGAATCCAGACATAACACAGCCAGCTGCTACCGAGGTTCAGACATAATCTTACATTATTTGTCCATCAGGAGCAACCATGCACTAAATTGGCTCTGAAGTGGCTAGTCTGATAGCAGAACCCAGTCCTGACACAAGCTCTAGCATTAAAGATGTTCCTTCGACTGGGCTCTCCCTCCGCAGTGGATTTTTAGGTTTTAAAATATGAAGTCAGACATCCTAAGAAGTCAGATGGGGGGACCGAATGCTCAAACCTCACCCCCACCCCGCTTTTTCCAGTAGAGCATTTTTTGTTTCGTTTTCTTCTTTTCTCTGCCAAACAGTGAAGAGTAGATCACAGGTAGATGGAAAGTTGGAGGCTGACATCTTACATTACTGGTCGCCCCAGCTGCACTTCCGTCACCCTGCCTGCATATACGCAGCAAGAAACATCTGAATCAAACACTAAACTAAAAGTGGGTACTTCTGGTGGGAGAGATTTGGGTACGTTTCTGTTTTCTTTTTTGAACTTTTCTGTATCATTTATGTTTTCCAAAATGATCTGCGATGTTTATAAAAACAATCAATTCATTACTTAAAACATTGCTGAAGGTTAAAGAAGATGCATCTGCAGTTATTTTGCTCATTCTCACAGCCAATACTTAAATGCGCATTTAGGACATGCCAGGCACTGCACGGCAGTGACCACGGGGCCTACTAGCTCAGGGTCTTGTGAGAGAGACAGAAACAGAGAATACACACATACACAAGCAACACCAGTAAAGGCACAGTGCAGAGAATGCAAATGGGGGCAGTGATCCTCTGAGATAGTGACATCTAGGTGGAAACTCGGATGGCAAGAAGGAGCCAGTGTGGGAAGTGTCTGGAGCAGAGGAACCAGTGCAAATCCCAGGAGGCAGTAACAGCCTGGAGAGTTAGCGCAGCCGAGGGAAGAACAGTGGGCTGCGACCAGTGAGGTGAGACCTGCAAGGCTCACAGATGTCAGGTCACACGAGTGAGTGAGAAAAAACAATTCCCCTGCGAGTGTGATGGGGCTTTTAAGCAGGAGAATGCACGATTTATGGTTTTTTTTTAAAGCTCTGTCTAGTGGAGTAGAAAATGGACTGCGGTGGGAGGATGCAAGAGTGGGAACAGCCTCCTCCTGGGAGGAAGGTACTCAGGGCTCCATTTTCTCAGCCTCAGCACTGGGGTCATCTGAGGTCGGATAGCCCTTTGCTGTGGTGCTGTCCTGTGCATGACAGGCGAATCAGTAGCATCCTTGGCCTCTACCCACTAGATGCCAGCAGCATATTGCCCAACACCCCCTAAGGAGCAAACTCTCCCCTGGTAGAGGCCCACTGGCATAGGGGGTAGTGGACTCTTTTTCTTTGCTCAAAAAAGAGATTTTTGCTATAGGGTGCACGTGCTCACTGGAGAGACAGAGAGAAAGTGAGAAACTAACCCCTGGGAGGATGGCCACACCACAATCCCTTCTCCTACACTCTCCTCTTGGAATTTGGGGTACACACATGCACCTGGCATGAGTTTCAAGCCATCGCATCCAGGACTCAAACTGTGGGAGTCCAGAACCCTAACAATTACACCACCAGCTGGCCCCTGGTAGACAAACTCTTAGTGTGCTTTGAGAAAGAGCTGGTAGGATCGGCCAATGAACCTACTGTCGAGCATGAAAGAAAGAGAAGAATCATGAACGATTTGCATCATAACAGAAAAATATGATTTAAAAAAGACTAGCTGTTTTTACTTCTTTTACAAAACCACCTTTCTTCTCTCATGCAGAGTGGTTCAGACAGTAGAGGAGAAGGCAAGGAATTAAATGGCATTACCAGGGATTGGGTTAACCTAGGTCTCTGTTTCCTGCTACATCTGCTGACTGGGGACTGGCTCTCCCCCCAGTAAAAGACCATGCAGAGGTACATGTTCCCCCAACTAGTGTCATCACTTCCAAGTCCTTGAAGGACTGAGAAGCAAAGATAGAGCATCGAGTATTTCCCACTCTGGAGGGCTGTTAAGTAACTTGGCGCTGGCCTCCAAATCTGGTGTCCATGTGTCAGAGCTGGGGTGGAATGTCTGGGGTGAGGCTGAAGGGGTAAAAGTGATTCAGAGATGAGGCAATGCTTTCTCTGAAAAACCAGTTAAATGTCTTTGGCATCCTGAGGCTACTCTGCCTCAATGCAGCTTAGGTCTCCAGAGGTGGGCAAGAAAGGGGTGGAAGAGGCCGTTGGCTTGGTACCACAGTGGTGAAGTGCTGTGCATTGGCAGCCAGATCCCACAAGGCTGACTGACCAAGGTTTGACCCAGCCCTGTCAGCTTGAAAAACATGAGCCTGTGTGTGTGCGCATGTCCCACACCCTGACAAGATGGAGAAATGGAGGAGAAAGGGATTATAGCATGACCACACCCCAATAGAGGGTTCTCTCTCTCTCTCTGGCAAGTATACACACACTCTGGCAATTAAAAAAGGGGACGAAGGGAGAAGTCTGAAATTCAGAAGTACAAGGACTTTGGTATGCTGAGCGAGGGCAGAGGCTACTATTCACAATGGTAGGGGCTACTCCTACTGGGACGGTGTAACGAGGCAGCCCTGCTCGAGAGGACAGAAATCTTAGGTCCTTTATTGAAAATTACTGTGGTTCTGAGGCCAGACAGTGGCACAGCAGTAAAATATAATGCCCCGTGAGGCAGTCTCACGTGGCAAGGTTCCTGATTCAGGATAGGAGACGTCCCTGAGTACACCAGGCATGTATGTGCCCATGAGGTGGGGCTGTTGAAGACTGGGCGTGGATCAGGGAGTCAAGACCCTAGTAGAGGTGCTGTCTCTCGCTCATGCATGGGGAAAAAAACAGCTTAAAGTGCTTCTTAGTGTTCTGCTGAGGAAAATTATTCTGTGATGAAATGGTAACAGGAATAAAAGCAATATACAAAAAACATATTGACTCCTGCGCTTTGAGACTATGAGGTCAACATTCAGCTCTGGAGACAGAGCTCTGTATGATGTGAGAGGTTGTCATTGTCATGAAGGAAGTGGAAGGAGCTGGGGGATCTGTGGAAGGCAGGGACAACAAAGTCACGGGGTTGCTGTATTTTCTAAGCCCCAGGCCTGGATTTCTTATGGAGCAGGTTATAGGCGGGTAGTGCTCTGGGTGTGGGTGGGTGCTAATTAAACACCTGATGGCTTGAAAATCGTGCTGGACATGTGTGTGTGCATGCCCAAAATTCCAGGAGGAGAATGGAGAAGGGACTGTGGTGTGACCGTCCTTGGGGGTGGGGTGGGGGTGGGGG